ATTCTCGACTGTTCATTGGGAGCTTTGTTCAGTGGGATTTTTAAGACTGAGTTCTGAATGATATTCCATGTAAAAGGCATTTTCCAAAAAAAACCTTACGAAGGAATTCTTATTGAATTGATTGGGAAATGGAGTTAACTTGCAACAATGGCAGTTGAAAACTCATTGTAGCGATAAGATTCCTTCAGCAACGCACTTAAACACTATTCAATACACAACAGAGCATGAAAGAGCGATTTGATGAGTGGAAGATGACCTCAAGAGAGTTGTGGATTAACTCATGAGACTATCTCAGAGACCAACGCTTACGTCAACAAACGCAATATTTGACCATTTTTATTAATGAGTGCATGCATCCCAAATTCAACTACGACTGCATCTTAGACAATAGGCAGTAGTGATCAATATCGGAATAAGATTCACATTATTCACCACAAAAAAAGCAACATTATTTTAGCCCAACAAAAGAGGCATAGGGAATGAACTATTGGAATGGATGATCATGCATTGACTTAGTGTTATGAATGAATTCTGTTGTTTCTTCGAAGAATTTAGTCCCTGAACAATGCATAACAGTTAGGTATGGCAAAGCAGCACAAAGACATAAAACGGCTGCCAACTACTGATAATAAAAGATGAGAGTTCTCTTAATCATCACAAACGTTAACGTGCTCCATCAAAAACATTTCCACTACTCAGCAATCAGTCCAAATTTATTCACGTTTTGCTTCTTCGTTCAGCTACATAACAACAACAATAACAATTGAATGAGTATCATCTAGGAAACGAACAAATCAATGTGTATAACGGATCATCATCATCATCATCACTTAAGGACGGAGTACGGGACGCGCTACGGAAGCCAATAATGAACATATGTATACTACGACGGATACACTCACCAAAACTATCTGCGGGTCTCGGCCAAAATGAATTTTTGTTAGTTGCTTTCGTTAGTACATAGGGTGCCAGTGTGGTCGTCGTCGTCGTTTTGCTTTCCTTGCTCACAACAGCTTCTTTGAAAGACTTCGTTGCTGTGAAATTTTTTTCTGAATTTGATTTAGTTTTTGATTCAGTTACAACACCTTTAGCGAGCGGCGATGTTGGTGTTGAAAACTTTGAAGATATCGATTCAGTTGAGAATTCGGTTGCAATTGCAGATAGAGCAGCCGTGGATTGGGTAGCAGTCGAATCAGTTGAAGCATTCGGTGACACAGTAGAAGAAAGAATATCCTTACTGAGAATGATACGTGGAGCACCGATATCCGACCAGAAATCTTCAAAATAATCATTGTCATATTCGACTGCGATACGAACCTTTTGGTGGTCTTTCGCTGACAATTCAGCGCCAGTCATTGTAGATTTTTGAAGATGTGTTGTGGAAGCAGAAGTACGATCAGAGGGTAAAAAGCGATAGAGGTGCGGTGGTGCGGGTGATGTTAGACTCGGATGTGATGCTACTGCAGTGAATGGTTTAGTGGCAAAGGGAATTGATTTTGAGGCAGATAAGGTGCTGGATGAGGCATAAAACGGGATAATGGGAGGTGTTAACGCTGAGTGATGATGTTTTGTGCTGATTGATGCTGCTGGTGATTGCCGAGTTGTGCTCGTTGCGAGAGTTGTTATTGGAATTTGACGTGTAATCAGGCTTGTTGGCCGCACATGAAACAATGATAAGTAGGTGAATGGTGTTGTGGTGCGTTTAGGTGGAAGTGGCGTTAATAATGCGCCTACGTCAGATGCACTTATTTTCGTGACCTCAACAACATTATCATTAGCAGTGTGGATAGAATCCGATTGTGAATCACTACTATCGATTGTATCAATCAGAAATTTATCGATAGCAGTTGAGGACGAGTACGGCGATGATGCGTTGGACGGACTGGTGAAGTGATGTGCAAATGGCAATTTTGATGTTTCAATCAAGCGATTAGCATTGTGAAGTCGCGTGATAGTTGCTGTTGTTGCAGTGCTAACGGGATGAGCAGTGGTTAGAGAAGTGATGATGTTCCGAGAACGTTCAGTCTGTGCTGCTGGTAATTGCGTTGTTGCGATCGAATGCAAATGCTGCTGCTGTTGTTGCTGNTGTTGCTGTCTCTGTGAAGGGGTTGTGCGTACTCGAACATCCGCCAAGCCATCATTAGTTCGATCGAATTCTCGACTACGCCACCATTTTGGGTCAGCAGCATAGCCGGGTGCACGCCACTTCGACAACGGTTTACGAGTTGCCGAAATATATGCTGGCCTCGTAGGCACAATCTGTCCCATGTGTGGGCCATGCACAGGCAAAAATCTAGACGTTTTAGTCATGATGGTAGTTGTGGGTAGCAATTGCACTACTGGTGGCGTTACAGAGGTCACCTGAAACGGAGGCAGTGAGACGCGAGGCGTTGGCCACAAAAACATCTCTCGTCCAGATCCCTCAGATCCCTCGTGCACTTTCGAGTCGCTTTGCTCATCATCCGAATCGTACTCTTCAATCTCGAAACGTTGCAACCAACCGTTTCGAGTTGTCGTTGCTTGAGATGGATGTTGATGCGATGGTGCGATGGTGGTGTATGTTTGAGTGGGAGTCGATAAAATGGGTGGATAGGTGAGGTATGGAATGGCTTGTGGGTTGACAGAGTAATGCTTCAGAAGTGGGGTTATCACTGATGGTTGCGGTGTGAAAGAGAAGACAGAAGACGTTCTCGTGCGTTCGTGCATTAACTCACCGTTCAGTGGAGATTCAGCAGTGCTTGACAATGACAATGAAGCATGACGCGGGGCCAATGAGGTGGTGGTGGTCACAGATGATGGATCAACCACTGGTAATATTGGTGTTATCAGTCCTGAAATTCATTTCAAAATGATTCCATCTAGCTATTACTGGACACTGAATTTAGAGCACTTCTCATAGGTCCACTTTTGTTCTACCCTAATAGATTTTGGTCTCATTTTCGTCTCAAGGAGGACATCATTGGCTGTGATTTCTGGGGACACTTATTTTCGTGGAGAATTCAAAACCGCGCAAATCTGACAGAGCCCAGCAAATTCCAAATGAAGATTCCATGCGATGCTATTGCATTTTGCAATGAAAAGGTGGAATGCGGAATTATCCGATTATATCGATTTGCACTCAGGAACGAGCTAAACATTCCAAATGAATTACGCTCAAACTGTGCTTGGACATCAACAAAAAAAAA